TACGTAACAGAACGATTCGGGGGAAGCTACGTAAAAATTTCTCTCCCATTAATCACACGCTGCAACAAATTATGGACGCTGCAGAAGAGATGGAGTGGAAATTCGCAGCTAGCTTCTTAGAAAATAAGGATTACGGTAGAGAAGGAGACTCGTCCGAACTTGTGAAAGCAAGGGCGGAACTGGCCGCACTACAAAACAAATTCGAAAACATGGGATTCGTAGCCGGACCCGTTACGTATGTAGAACATGAATGGGTGACTATAGACAGGCAGATCCCGGTAATGGTGTCCCCAACCGTAACTCGGCCACCTCCACCGCCACCCACCATCGAGTCACCCGAAAAAATGGGTGAGTCTACTGCTATCTTGGAGCTAACTAAAACATTGGTTAGTCTAATCCAGGAAAGCAAGACGGAACAGCGAGAGCACAATGCCCGATTAGAAGCTATGATGCGGAATATGTGACCCATTGTGGTGCGAGCACCAATGCAGGGAGGCATGGCTGCTGCCCAAGTGGCAGCGGGGTCAGCCGGGACCGCGACAAATGCCTGTTTTACATGTCATCAACCTGGACACTTGGCCCGAGATTGCCCCCATCGTGCCATGCAGCCTTGAGCCGGGATCGCGCCTGCAGCTGCAGCTGCAGCTCCCATAGCTAACGGTCCAGGACGTGTAGGAGCCGTAATGGATGATCAGGGGGGAAGTACGGGAATGATGATTTCCAATGAGGAAGCAGCTGAGCTTATCCCGCTGGAGCAGTACGTATCACTAGGATACCCGGGGCTGGGAATGATTGGGACGATTCGACCGGAACTCGAGTCCAGAGATGTCGTCGAATGGCGGCCTTCGTCGAGCGAAATGGAGACGGGAGGCCCTACCTTTGTTACAGGAGAAATCGATGTCCTTGAAGTCACCCGAGCACTGGATCATCGAATCCCTCTCCCAATCGGCCACCTACTCTCCATCTCGGAACAGGCGAACGAACGAATGATGCAGCATTGCAAAGCGAACCGGAAGCGATTCGCCCTTGCACGCGCAAAAGATCAGAAGGCGAAGACGCCACCTTCGGATAAAAAGGCGGACGTCGCCCCTGTTCCCATGCGAGTTGGATTAATACAGAAAGACGACCACTTTCTTTGGATCAAGCCGATTCCGTGGAAATCGGCCGAATGTGATATTGAAGTCTGGGGGGTGCCGTATAGTGCGATCTTAGATTCGGGAGCGGCTGTCCTAGCGATATCCCTCCGAGTAGTCAAGAGAGCGGGTAGGAAGAATGATTTGATTATGCTAACCGAGAAGGACCAGCTCGTATCGGTTGACGAGGAGGAGTTCAAGACAGTAGGGCATATGACGAATGTCGCGTTCCGATTGGGAAAAGTGCATGCTTTAGGAGATGTTGTGGTGTTGGATGTGAATACGTATGACGTCCTGTTCGGGCTTCCTGCGTTAGTGGCG